CTTTTGGGGTGGCCGGCGGATTTACCAGCTGACATTCAGGACACGCAGCGCACCATCTGCTGACGTCTCCGTGAATGCCCGGCCAAAAGAAACGGGCCATGAGGCGATTTAGTGTGGCCGCTTGACCTAAATGTCCGGCCATAGGGTTAGCATGAGCCGCCTGGAAAAGCATTTCCCGACGGCTTTTAGGAACCAATAATTGGGTGGTATCTTCTTTTGATTGAGTGTCTTGGGTCACTCGATACACCCTGTCTTTAATGATCGCAAAATAGGGATAGTTGAGTGGTCGCTCAGGCTGGAGGACATGCCCATCGATCACTTTTACCTGCTCGATGGCATTTCTCAGCGTGTCATCACGCGACTGCTCCAGAGGGAAGTCCTTACAGCGGGAAATTCCCAGGCCTCCCTCTGAGTCAGAGCGCGATGACGTCACCGGGGATTTCCCCAGCTGAGCGATCCGCCCCCTAGCCGTCGATCCTTTCCTCCAAGAGGCACCCGCTGTCAAAACCCCTAATAGTTTATTAAAATCAGGCCAATTTGTTCCCAAAATCAGCGGATGCTTGAGGTGCGGGTTAACCGCTACCTCTACGCTATGTTTTTGACCCCGAAATTGGATCTCTACGGCCGCTAGCGGGTAGTGAATTTCATCACCATGCACACACCTCACCCTAACCGTGCGGCTTTTATCCAATGCCGTGTCTTGCATCAGGCATGGGTGGATAGAGGTTTGGTTACACCCTGAATCCACCAAGGCCTGATATTTATCCCCCTTTATACTCACCGGTATCTGATATAGCCCATTGCGACCGGGGGCGACAGCCGGGGCGTCGGGTACGCGGATCAAAGCCCCCACCTCCATCGCGGAGCAATTCTCGGGGCTATGATCCACGCCCCCGCACCGCCAACACGTCGGCCCAGACCTCACCACTGCACCCCCGGGGCCAGTTGGTCCAACCGATTGAGCCGGAGAGAAACCTGTTGTGGCTGGAGAAACCACTAGAGGGCGTGCTTCCCCACCCCTTTCCGGATATCCCCCCCACCGAGGCATCGAGCGAGAGGTATCCGCCCCAGAGCCCCGCTTCCTCGGCGCTGGCACAGGAGGTCCCTGCTGTCTGGGTCTGGGAGAGGGGAGAGAAAGAGAAGAAGAAAGAGAGAGAGAGGAGAGAGAGGTTGTATCGCCGACCCTGGACCTCGCTACCAGGTGGTCCTCCGCCAACTGGATGGCCATCTCAAGATCGGTGGGTCGGTGGCACTGGACCCACTCCGATGTTCGGGAGGGGAGGCGGGCGATGAATTGCTCCAGCACCACTGAGTCCACCACCTGGTCGATGTTCTGGCCATCCGGGATCAGCCATCTGCGGCAGGCGTCGCGGAGCTGCTGGGCGAACACGAAGGGCCGGCCCGTTGGAGAATGGCTCGCTTCAGGTGAGCATAGTCCAGGAGATTCTGGGCCGGTAGCTGCTGCGCCGCGATCTGGGCTTCGCCTGACAGCAGCGGGATGACTCTCACCGGCCACTCGGCCCGTGGCCAGCCACACGCCTCCGCCATTTTCTCAAAGAGGTCCAGAAATACCTCCGGGTCGTCCTGAGGCCCCATTTTCTGAAGGGAGATGGGAGGGTGGGCGGCAGATGTCGACGCGGGCCGGATCCCCTGGTCCAGCAGTCTCCGGACGAGCTCGCGGTCCTCGCGCTGGGCCTCCACCAAAGCACGGAACCGCTGGTCCTGGTCCGCCCGGATCTCCACCAGCGCCTCATGTTGTTCGCGATGGAGGACCGCGAGCGCCTGGATCACTTCCGCGAATGGAGTAGCTGACGGAGTGGTCATCTTGGCAGCGAAGTCTCCTCTTCTTCCCAGGTTTCGGCACCACTGTAATAATGTTCGTTTCGTGGGAAGAAGAAGGCAGGGTCGGCGATATCAGGTAAGCACAATTTTTATTTATAATGTTCTGTGTATGTGTGTGCGTGTCGAGACTGAAGTTCGACAGGCTCTCCTCTCTCCCGGCTTCTCCTTCTCCTCCCCTTATGAAGGTGTCTCTCCGGCCCAATCACTAGAAAACACAGGTGTTAATAATTATTTATGATTAGACCACTGACCAGCCGCCGGTGTCTCCGCCTGCTCTCCCCCCTTTCTGGGTGTTCGATCACGCCTTCCCCACCACAAAAACGATACAAGAGCAAAGCATTACCAATTGGTTTTAAAGCATTTCAAAACAACTGTCATAGTCTGGCTTCGAAACCTATTAACCCCGCATGGAAGTCTGACACCTTAACCACTATACTATGTTACTTAAAGGATTCAACAAGCAAAGTTGGCCTTAATCCCTCAATTTGTTCAACTGTTCTTTGCTGAAGCTGTTTTAGTGCAATACATAAAAAATGACCACTAGATGACACTGTAGAGTGGGGTTTCGAAACGTTTCGAAGCTTCGACACATTTGCTTCGACTGTTTCAGTGTTTCACGAAGCCTCGCTTTGCCCACCACTAGCCGCCAGGCAAAAACATAGGAACTCCAAAAGCTAAGCAGTTAACAAACATAAAGTTCTCCGTAGAGCAACTGGTACTATAGCCAAAAAATACAAAAGGTAATAGCAAGAGGACTTACGGCAACAGCGATAGCACATCAAACTCAAAAACCAAGTGACAAGTGAAGACAAGAGGGTAGAATATATAGGCTAGTCTAACAAGACACAGCTGAACCAAATTAACACAAATGAACCACAAACAGAAACATTGGGGAAAATGGCGACATCTTGTGGAGAAAACAAACAATAGCTCAGAATATGACTATATATATATATATATATATATATATATATATATATATATATATATATATATATATATATATATATATATATATACTTAAAGGTTTAATATTTTATAATACATTTAGCCTGCATTTTTGTGTCCTTTATAAATAAGACCTGATCTTTTATTTATAGATTGTTAAAATATGTTTGGCTTTGTAAAGGTTTCAATATTATTCAGGGGCGTACTGGCCATAGGGAGAACCTGCCACCGTGACTGGCCTCCCGCGCGTGCACAGACTCGGGCCCTAGTCTGCCCGTGCGGGCATGAGTGCTGCACTGCTACCTTGTGATTTTAGGCAGACAAGCCAGAACATCTCAACAGCGGGCAGTAATGTCCACTACTTTGCAGAGTTTAGCTCAATCACTGATAAAACACACACGAACCAAGCTAAAAGTGAGCATTTGTTCAAGGTTGGAGCTAAAAACAACACGAAAAACACGATGAAATCGGCTCATATCAAGTTACTTTAGAAAAAACGTGCACATGCTTCATTCACGCTCTCTCTTAAAGCTTGCCTTCAAATAACACAGCTGTGTATTGTTATCAATAATTTCATTAGTACTGACAAACAAGTATAGCGATATTGTAACTTATTGCGAATAAAAAGCAGAGCAAATTCAACTTAACACAGATTTCTGAACCGAAGGGTAACAACCGAGGTCATCAAAAGCAGTGTTTTTCCATATTAACACTAAAGTTACCCGCATTCAGTCCGTATCACCATAACACGAGGGATTTTCTATCAAATAGAAACATTACTTCATAATACAAAATATTTCACTATTATATATATATATACAAACATACCTGAATGATGAAGCTGAAATAGTGGACTTCTCCTTTCGAAAAATTAACCGTCACTCTTGAGGCTCTTCACCACCAGTCCATGATGATGTCCTTGTCAATGACGTCACCAGAGGGCTCTTTTATGATTTTTAGTTTAAAATAAATTATTAAACCAAAACAACATGTTACTGCACAGTCTAAATAAATTGGTTATTTTATTTATTTCACAAAATAAATTGTCAAAAATGTTAAACATTGAGTATATATAAACTAGGCCTATAAGTTATATGCTAATGTACAAACCTGCATGAAAAAAAAAATCCCATCATACTGTACACTGATTAAGTTTTTGACCACAGCATTCATTTTATTAGGTTTTGACTCAAAAAGCTTTGTCTCTCTGTGTTATAGCTTATAATTATTTTATAATCTTTACTACATAATTATGTTATGATTCAGAAATTATAGAACCATTTTAATCAAAAAGGTTCTTTGCACTTCTAAGGGTTCTAAATGGAACCATTTTTTGGGTAAAAGGTTCTAATGGCCAAGTATAGAACCCCAAGGTTCTATATAGAGCCTCAAGGAACCTTTTTTTTTTTGAGTGTACAAAAACCTAGTTAACCTAGTAACCTTTAAATTTGACTTTAAGCTGTCTAGAAGTGTCTTGAAAAATATATAAAAATATATAAAATATTACTGTCATATCATGGCAAAGATAAAATAAATCAATTATTAGAAATGAGTCATTAAAACTTTTATGTTTAGAATTGTGTTGAAATTGCTATTATCTCCATTAAACAGAATTTAGGGAAAAGAAAACGAGGGCTAATAATTTAGGAGGGTTAATAATTCTGACTTCAACTCTATAGTTGAGGTCAGAATTATTAGCCCCCTTTTGATTTTGCTTTTCTTTTTTTTATATTTCCCAAATGATGCTTAATCATGGCAAAGATAAAATATATCAGTTATTAGAAATAAGTTATTAAAATTATTATGTTTGTTGAAAAAAAAACTTATCTCCGTTAAACAGAACTTGGGGGAAAAAAACTAAACAGGGGGGTAATAATTCTGACCTCAACTGTGTGTGTGTGTGTGTGTGTGTGTGTGTGTGTGTGTGTGTGTGTGTGTGTGTGTGTGTGTGTGTGTACACCTAAACTAAGACATCATAACTGTACAGAAAAGAAAAAATGTAAGAGAAGGAATAAACATTTTTTAACACCTATAATAATTTCAAAGTTCTGAATTTATCAGATGGTAGTAAACTTAAAATAAACAGTAAAATTAGCTTGATTTTGCTTCTGCTTGACGTGCCTCTGTGTTTACAATCATTCATCCATTATTAAAATGTCTATAAAAGTAGTAAAAAGCAGTATCCATTCACTTATACTTGGCAGTATAACTCATCAGAACCTGGTGTCTGGGATGCTTCTATTTTTATACTCAGTCCTCTCTTTGTATCACCTAAATACAAAGGCGGAAAACACTCTTTGCCAAATGATAGGCAACCCAAAGTATCCACTGCTTTCCAAAGATGGAGATATCACAATCGGTGCACTTTTTGTAATCCATTCTGAAGTATCACTACCTTCATTTGCGTTCACACAAAAGCCTAATCTTCTATCATGCTCCAGGTATGTTATTGTGATTTCTTTTCATTTTTTAAAAAATGAAACGCATACATACACACACACAAATGCATGTGGTATTTTTTGCTTTTCATTTAATTTCAAGTCATTTTTTTTTCAGTTCAGTATTTACCATGATGATGTATTGTCTTTACAGTCTAAATATTAAAGATTTCAGGTTAGCTCAAACCATGATCTTTGCCATTGAAGAAATTAACAAAAATACAAATTTACTCCCAAATATTTCTGTTGGCTATCAAATTTATGACACCTGTGGTTCCCGATTCCATTCTATGAGTGCAACTATGGCATTAATGAATGGTCCAAAGAATTCAGAAGGATACACATGCAATGAGCAGTCGTCTGTACATGCTATCGTAGGAGAAACTGAATCCTCCAACACAATAATTCTGTCCAGAACCACAGGTCCTTTCAAAATTCCAGTGGTAAGTAAAAAGTACAGTAGTAAGTAAGAAGTACAGAAATTATTCACATAATAATTGCATTAACTGAAATTATCCATTTATTTTCAGATAAGTCCCACAGCCACGTGTGAGTGTCTCAGTAATAGGAAAGAATTTCCATCTTTTTTCAGAACTATTGCAAGTGATTACCACCAGAGCAGAGCACTTGCATACATAGTAAAGCATTTTGGCTGGACGTGGGTGGGAGCTGTGAACAGTGACAATGACTATGGAAATAATGGAATGGCCACATTTCAGAAAACAGCCAAAGAAGTGCAGATTTGTGTGGAGTACTCTGTAAAATTTATTAGAACAGAGACTGAAAAAATTAGAAATGTGGTAAATGTTATAAAAAAGGGCACAGCTAAAGTAATTGTTGCATTTCTCACTGGTTTTGAGATGAAAAGTCTACTCGAACAGCTAAGTAGTCAGAACATTACAGGCCTTCAAATGATTGGTGTGGAGGCATGGATAACTTCAAAGACTTTAATAACGTCAAAAAGTTTTCATGTGCTAGGAGGGTCACTGGGGTTTGCAGTGAGAAAAATCCAAATTGAAGGGTTTGCAGATTATGTTATGAAAGCATTCTGGGACACAGCTTTTCAAAGCTTTTCTAATGCTGATTTAAATTACAGTCAATATCAGGATCTACTTTTAGTAAAAAACTACAATGAAGATGTGCTAGAGCAAAGATTTGTGAGCTACGTCTACAAAGCAGTTTATGCTTTGGCTCATTCACTACACAGTCTACTCAGATGTACAGAACAAGGAGGTTGTGGGAAGGCCCTGACAATACAGCCACATCAGGTGTGTGTTTGTGTGTGTCTGTGATAAAAGGCCACAGTGATAACAAACCGTAATGCTTCTTTTTTATTTATTTAGTTGGTCGAGGCTCTAAGAAAGGTGAATTTCACCGTAAAGATGGGCGATCAGGTGTGGTTTGACAGCACAGGTGGTGTAATAGCACAATATGATGTAGTGAACTGGCAGCAGAATTCTGATGGTTCAGTTCAGTTTCAATCAGTGGGATACTATGATGCATCACTGTCCCCTGACCAGCGCTTCATGCTCAACACTGAAAAAATAGTCTGGGCAGGAGGACAACTGGAGGTAAATTGCAATAGCTGTAGGTTTAATAAAATACATTTAAACAGTGTCATACACCAAACAGTGGCATCCACATACATAGCATATTTTAAAAAGTATATAACAGAAAATATTTAAATTTGTATGCTGCTTAAAAGTTGAGTTATGTTTAGCATTAAAAGTTAATTATGTGAACGAATAAATAAAATTATAATAATAACAACATAAAATTATTTTCTAAAATATGCCTTTCATATAATTGCTTTGTTCTGGAGACATACAATGTAAGAGATACCAGTTATAATATGTGCGCTCATCTCTTAGTACTTTTATTCATTAATTTGTGTTTCATAAATACAGTTGAAGTCAGAATTATTAGCCTCCCTGAATTAATAGCACCCGTTTATTTTTTCCCCAATTTCAGTTTAACAGAGATCCAGTTTTTTCAACACATTTCTAAACACAAGTTTTAATAACACATTCCTGATAACAGATTTTTTTTTCTTTGCTATGACGACAGTTAATAATATTTGACTAGATATTTTTCAAGACACTTCTATACAGCTTAAAGGGAGATTAAAATGCTTAGCAAGTTATTGTATGTCAATGTTTATATCGAAATTATATATATAGTTTAAAGGGGCTAATATTTTTACCTTAAAATGGATAAAAAATAAAAACTGCTTTTATTCTAGCCAAATAAATTAAAAAAGTTTCAGACATGCTATGAAAATTTCCTTGCTCTGTTAAACATCATTTGGGAAATTTTTAAAAAGAAAAAAAAATGGGAGACTAATAATTCTGACTTCAACTGTAATTATAAATGTGTATAATATACATTTTCATGTAGAAGCCAAGGTCTGTGTGCAGTGAGAGCTGTCCTCCAGGCACCAGGAAGGCTTCACAGAAAGGAAGACCTGTCTGCTGTCATGACTGTATTCCATGTGCAGATGGAGAAATCAGTAATGAGACAGGTAATCTTCCGTCCATCTCACATTTTCAAAGAAAACTGTCTAGCTGTTCATTTTGTGGTGTTCTGCTGTTGCTCAGGACACAGTTTCTAATTAGAGGAGTTTATAAATAATAATAAAACATGCTATTCTTATCTGCAATTACTTTAAACAACTTTCTTTCCAGATTCAAATAACTGCAAGCAGTGCCCTGGGGAATACTGGTCTAATGCTAACAAAAATAAATGTGTTACAAAAGCTGTAGAGTTTTTGTCATTCACAGAAGTTATGGGTATAATTTTAGTCTTTTTCTCACTGTTTGGAGCAGGATTAACTGTGCTGGTGGCTATTCTCTTTTACAGCAAGAAGGACACTCCCATAGTAAAAGCCAACAACTCAGAGCTAAGCTTCCTCCTGCTCTTCTCACTGACTCTGTGTTTCCTCTGTTCAATTCCTTTTATTGGTAGGCCCACTCAGTGGTCCTGTATGTTGCGTCACACTGCATTTGGAATCACTTTTGTCCTCTGTATATCCTGTATTCTAGGGAAAACAATAGTGGTGTTGATGGCCTTCAAAGCTACGCTACCAGGAAGTAATATCATGAAATGGTTTGGTCCTGTACAACAACGACTCAGTGTTCTTGCTTTTACACTTATACAGGGTCTGATTTGTGTGATTTGGCTTACAAAGTCTCCTCCATTTCCATACAAAAATATGAAATATTTTCAAGAACAGATCATTCTTGAATGCAGTGTGGGTTCCACTATTGGGTTTTGGGCTGTTCTAGGTTATATTGGCCTACTAGCTGTGTTGTGCTTCATTCTGGCTTTTCTGGCTCGCACACTACCTGATAACTTCAATGAGGCCAAATTCATCACATTCAGTATGCTTATATTCTGTGCTGTATGGATCACATTTATTCCAGCTTATGTCAGTTCTCCTGGAAAATTGACAGTAGCTGTGGAGATATTTGCCATTTTAGCCTCAAGCTTTGGTTTACTTTTTTGTATATTTGCACCTAAATGTTATATTATTCTGCTTCAGCCTGAACAAAATACAAAGCAACAGATGATGGCAAAAACACCATCTAAAATTTAATATTGTATTATGTATATATTTGGCAACAATGGTAAAAAGCGATTCGTAATAATAAAAAAAAGGCTTGTGAAAGCTAAAATACACTTGGTTTGCCATCTCACTCATTCTGTCACTCATTTTTGTTTTTAGTTCATTTATTTTATTATAATTACTGACTAGATGCTAGGTTGCCAAGGATCTTGATAAAAATTCAAAATGGCCCTACTAGTGTCATAATATTAACTGACCTCAAAAACAATGGTAACTTGTCAGAATACAATATGAATCTATATATTCTAGTTCCAAATGAATAATAATGTACAGTTTTAGGCAAAATTTTGCCACTCATAGTTATCATAACTGCAATTTATAGTCTGCTGGCCTTTCTAAGTAGCAATTTCATCTGAATTTATTGTATACCCTATGGAAAAAACAACATTTCTGTTCTGTTATTTAATCAACAGATGCAATGCAACTTAAATGATAAGAAAAACAGACAGGTGCAAAAAATTTGGGCACTCCAAGAGAATAATGACATCAATATTTTGTAGAGCTACATTTTGCTGAAATAACAGCTCGTAGACACTTCATATAGCCACAGATAACTCCCTAAATTTTGAAAGTATTCTGCTCGAAATGAGTCTCCTGGCTAGCATTCTGAAAATTACAACAGTAATAAATCTGATGCAAGTTATTAAATTAGGTGGAATTAATGATTTAACTTGCAGCAGTCTCCTTATGGGGTGTATCAGTAGTTTAAGTTTTAAGTATGTTCATAGCATTTTAGAAGTAAATGCACATACGTAATTCGGTATTTAATGACATGTCGAACAGTTTCTTACAGAATCACAGATGTCATCATTTACTCACTCTTTACTAGTTTTAACCTGTTTGTGTTTTATCCTACTATTGGACAAAAAATGCATTTTGACAAATGTTGGAGAGTAGCAGCCACTTACATGGTTTATTTTGTTCTTACTGTGGATGTTAATGGCTGCTGGTTACCACCTTTCTTCAGTATATCTATTTATGTGTTCAACTGAAGAAATAAATCCATAAAACCGTTAATGGGCCTGAAATAATTTAAAGTGGATGCCTGAGGCCAAATTATTTTGATAGTGATTGGTTTTAAAATATATCTGTTGTGACACCAAGAAATAGATTAGTTGACCACTTTTTAATTAAATGATTCTAAAAGATATTCAGAGTCTGTACATCACTAGATACACCTTTAAAATAGCTGTGAAGAAATGTGTGTGAATTCTTTGTGAATATTCAGTTGCTGCTTTTTTACATTGCCTTATGGATCTGTGACAAGAGGACATAGACTACAAAATAATAGCAGACAACTAGGGATGTCCCGATCAGGTTTTTTTTTTTGCCCTCGAGTTCGAGTCTGACTCATTTGATTTGGAGCATCTACTGATTACAAAACCCGATCCAATACTTCTATAATCCATAAAAAAAATAATTAAAAAAAGCAAAAAACAGATCCAGTATGTTCCTTATTTTAATCATTCAACAACACAGTTAAAAAACAGAGCACTTCTGTGCGGTAGCTTGAACAATCAAGTAATAAATAACATAAAGTCTTAACTTATGGATTTTAGTGCAACAGTAAATAACACCTCAACTTAAAATACCCAACAGGCAATCAATTTCACACATCTCACAGTTGTCATCATCAACTTTATAGTACCTCCAGACCACAGATATAGGGTGTTTTTCAATTCCAAAAATGCAGAGAATGGACTTGTGTTCTCCTGGAAACCGGTCTTGCCAGGTTACCTCAGAGGAACAAACTCAGGAGACCTCATTTCTCAGAGCACACATTCTCTGTTCTCACGAGGCTGCATTCTTCCTGATGGTCATATGACTTTCACGCATCTATAACTGAACATAATTTTATACGATTTATTGTTGTACCCCTTTTCTATATATATATATATATATATATATATATATATATATATATATATATATATATATATATATATATATATAACATGTACAACGACCTTACCTTGTGACAATTTTCAGCAAATAAACACCCTTGTTTATGCACTTATTAAGATTTTCATTGTGAATGCTTACTCATTTAGGGAAAATCCTTAGATAAATTATATCTCTGAACTTGAATAATAATTTTTTTAAAAAATGATGTGCTTCATACCTTATACCTTTAATCAGCCGCAATGACTTTTGGAACTTCTCGAGCGAGTTTTGTGCTCAAGTCTGCATCGATGTATTCTCGATATCAAGAACACATCTGGGAACTTTCACGCGCCCTCTGTTCTTGCGATCTTGAGTTTTGGAACTAAACTTTGGCAGTTGATGATGATGTTACAAGAGAACACAAGGTCGCTAAAGAAAGATTATTGAGAAACAGACACACTAGCGTTGTCCTCTTGAAGCTGCTTTCATGTACTCAATTGCCGGTGTTGTGCTGAGAAATGCACCCCCTTGTAGACTTTAATTAACATTCTCAGTCAAAAATAAAAACAAAGGCCATAATTGATTAAATGTAAAATTATTATTTTGAAGGATAAAGCAAGGACAAGAAGTGAAATGCATTTTAAAACGCTCTAGGTTTACAAATAAATGTAAATGGCAACTGTACTGTAGCCTAAAATTAGGCTTTTTGACGGGTTTTAAAGGCTACATAGAACACATAAAATTGTTGTTGCTGTTTTAAACTAAACCACACAGTAAATAATTTACTTAATCCCATATGTGTTGTATTTAAGTCAATCTATTTATTTATTTATTTATTTATTTATTTATCTTCTTTAAGGGAAGGGTTCCATTCATGAAACTCACCTCAGTCACTCATTAGTGTCATAACTTGATTATTATTAATATTATTTTAAAATCAATTTCAGTTAATAGATGCACATTTCAGAGGGGGTGTGTTTTACAGTTGGGGTGCGCCTCCTGGTACAACACCGGAAATTAACCCATAGCGTCTCTGCAACAAAGTGATGTCATGCCTCACACGTTGCTTTTTCTGTGTGAAGTCAAGAAAGAGGTCTAACTCTGTGCCCCCACATAACTAGATGTGTTAAAAAATAATGAAAATATACACACACACACATATATATATATATATATATATATATATATATATATATATATATATATATATATATATATATACACACTGTAAAAAAATTCATAGTAATATACTGGCTAATAATTGCATTACTTTCACAGTAAATTACTGTATCTAAATTCATAGTAAATTATTGTGAGGTAGTTCACAGTAATTTACTGTGATTTTGGCACATTAAACTATTGTGAACGTACAGCCATATAGTGTAACTTCACAGTAGATAATAAAGTCCGTTACTGTGATTTCAAAGTATATTATTGTAGAATGAACTATATTTTACTGTGAATTTACAATACGATTACTGTGATTTAGCAGTAGGTTGCAGTTAAAAAAACTTGATTTAACTGTAAAGTTATATTTATATCCCAGATTACTGTAATTTAACAGTTTGATGCTGTAAAACTTAAAAATAACATTGCCGATAACTATGCTAACGGACTTCGTATTTGGCTGTATCGTGAAGTGAAACTTACCCTGCCAGAACTTTTTGGAGGTGCAATGGGACATGTTTCTTTATGGGTTGTAGGAGCGTCTTCAGGATGAGATTTATACTCTGGACCTGCCTAAGACTCTTGATGGCCTTATAGACCTGGCGATCCGGGTGGATGCCCGACTGCTGCGTCGAGAGACGTGCATCTGACAGAGTGCACCCTCTGAACTGGTCCCCGACTTCCTTGCTCCTTTGATGGTTCTGGAGGTTAGAACCACTCATCCGGAGCCCATGCAGTTGGTTAGGTGCCTCGGTACAGGAGAGGTGTCGACGAAGGAGTGAAGGACTTTGCCTATATTTCGGAAGAACGGGACATCGAGTCCTCTATATTTCGGAGGACCCCATCAAGTCCTCAAGTCCAGTAAAAGACCACACCCATCAGTAAGTAAGAGGTTACTGATGGGTGAGATTAATTTAAATAAATCCTCTGTTACCACTAACCTACTGCCAGCTACCTGGGGTTGGGCTTCAGAAACCCTGAACGTCATGTGCAGCACAGGCTGATACACAAAATTAAAGGGCTGCTTTGTTTCATCCCCTATTCTGGTGGCTCCTGATCCGACTCGACAGTTTGTGGTGGAGGTTGATGCTTCAGAGGTATGAACTCAGATATCATGAACTCAGAGGCAAGATGCATCCTTGCGTGTTTTTTTAACACTGATTATCTCCTGCAGAATGAAATGACAAAATTAGAAATAGGCAGTTGTTGGCTGTCAAGCTTGGTTGGAGGAGTGGCGTCATTGGTTGGAGGGTTCAGGGTTTCCCTTTATCGTTTGGACCGATCATAAGAACCTGGACTATATTGAGTGTGCCAAACAACTAAACTCCATCAGTGTTTAGTTTTTTTTCGGATTTTCACCATTTCTTATAGACCGAGTTCTAAACACATCAAACCTGATGCGTTATCTCATCTCTTTGATGTTTTTGAGCGCACCAGGTCTCTCGAGCCTATTGCTTCTCAAAAGATTTTGATTTCTGCTGTAACATAGGAGATCGAGAGTAAGGTTCGCCTCTGCTTGGAAGGGGTAACACCCCCACCCGGATGCCCACAAGTCAGTTGTTCTTGAGATTCGCTCTGACGTCATTTAATGGGGTCACTCCTCCAAAGTGGCGTGTCAACCAGGGGTGAGTCGTACTTTATTTTTGGTTCAACAATGATTCTAGTGGCCAGCTATGGCTCGGGACATACGTGAGTTTGTTTTGGCCCGTTCGGTTTGTGCTCTCTTCAAGACTTCCAATTGCCCTCCTGCTGGGCTCCTTTAACCTCTGTCAGTGCCTTCGAGACCCTGGTCCCACATTTCACTAGTTTTTGTCACAGGTCTTCCGCCGTCTGCTGGCAAAATGGTCATTTTGACCGTTGTGGATTGGTTTTCGAAGGCTGCTCATTCCTCTGCCCAAATTACCCTCAGCCAGAGAGACAGCGGATGATGTCATTAATCACATGTTTCGCATTCATGGCCTCCCGATGGATGTGGTTTCTGACATGGGGCTTCAGTTTGTCT